TGGGGTCGAGGTCTTCGACAGTCGATCCTGTGGCTTCGACCATATCGGGGTCCCTGATGACGTTTTCGCTATCATCGCGTATCAACCTCGACCCTGTTGATTGCTATGCCTATTTTTCTTTGTCATTCGTTTATTGAGTGACCGTACAATCTAGAGCGATGTGGTAGCATTACCGGGATGTGCGTTGTTCCCCTCATATACTGAATATTCCCCATGGAGTTGGGAATTTGTTGACTTGGTACAAGCTGGAGGGGATGGCTCTCATGGTGTGTATCCATGGTCTCCCTATTATGGCGTTGTATGTTGTGTCATGGTCCATGATATGAAATGTGATTTCTAGAGTGACTCCACCGGCCAGGACGGGGAGTGTGATCTCGCTAGATATTCGTTCCACTGCATTGTTAAAACCTGTTATCGTGATGCAGCGCATCACTATCATATCCTCGAGTTTCATTTGTGCAAGTACTCGAGGGTGGATAATGCACGCGTCGCTCCCATCATCTACCATAATGCGTCCCACATCGGTATCTAAAATTCGTAAAGTGATAACAAGGGCATTATAGTGAGGGAAAACCAAACTAGTTGTATCTGACTCATCAAAGATGATACTTTCTTCGAGTTCATCATACCGTTCGTGGGTGATTGACCGTTTGAGCTTGTGGGTTGTGGTGAACTTCACACTATTGATGGAAGCATCACCACCGCCGCTGATGATCATGTGGATGGTGCGGGTCGACGAGGGTGGTTTTGGCGGTCCTTGATGTTATTCACGACCTCTGGCAAAGTTGACCCTTCCTCGGTCGCTCATCAACTCTTTGAGGTATCCCTCTCGTAGCATATTTATGACCTACTTTCTTAAGGCGATGCAATCCTCGGTTTTATGCCCTCGCTCTTGGTGGAACTCGCATAGGGCGTCCGACTTTTTAGTATTCGGGTCCGACCTCATCTTTTGCGGACACTTCACCTTTGGTCCGAGCTTCTCCAAGGCATAAACTATTTCTGTAGGTGATACACAAAAATTGCGAGTGGATAATAAATAGAGTATACCTCTCTCGTTTTGGTGAGTCCCTATTCTCGATCGGGGTGAGCCCTCTTCATGGCGGGAGGAGGATGCAATGGCGATTCTGACATATGGTAGATGTCGTTCCTTGTTGGGTCGTGGAGCTGTGAGGTCCCTTCTGATATCATTTCTTCGATCTTTTCTGGATTCAGCTTGTACCGAGGTCAGTTGATGAGTTGGCCCGTTGAGGTCGTCCTCGTCTGCTCGGACCTCGGCATAATACACGTTGTGTATTTCATCCCAAGTAGTTATGGGGTACTTCATAAGCCGACTTAATAACTTTCTTGTTGCCCTTGAACCATTTCTGCTTAGCCAATTCTGAAAAGCTACGACCGCAATCCCTTCTGATACATTCGGCAAGATTATTCTTATTCGGTTGAACCGGGCAAAGAAGTCCCTCACTCCCTCTCCCGGAGACTATTTAATAGCAAATATGTTGTTTACTCTCGCCTCAGCCTTCTTGGCCCCAACATGGGCTGTTACGCACTTGTCGGCTATTTCTTCGAAGGTTTCAATGGAACGCGTAAGCAGTTGTGAATACCATGTTAACGCTCCTCCCGTGAGGGTCTCACCGATTTTTTTAACAATATGGAGTATACTTGTTCCTTGGCTAGATCATTTCTTTTCACGACGGTGACGTAGTGAGTCACATGGTCTTTGAGGTCGGTTGTGCCGTCATATATTTTCAGATAGAGTGGCATTTTAAAGGTCTTTGGTATGGCATATGGGGCGGCGACATCACTATACGGCTTCTCAATAAATCGACCGACATCTCTCTTCGACAAGAGCTTAGGGGCGCCCGGTATCTTATCGACCCTTTCTTGGTGTTTTCTCATTTGGTCCCAAAGGGCTTTGTTCTCATTCTCCATTTCCTCCATCATTTTCAGGATAGCTGCGAGAGTGTCGTCATCTGCACTATTAATGACATTGTGAGTAATACATGTCGTTGGAGGATGAGGAATATGATTATGCTGCTCGTCTGCTGGTGGCATAACGTAAGTCCTCGCATTTTCTGTAGCCGTGTCCCAAATGGGCTTATGGAGGACGCTGGTTAGCGTGTCAGTTAGCCAAGCCTCAAGGAGCTTTTTTACTGCTGGTGGCATCTCCTTCGCTACGGATGTGGAGGATCCCTTACCAAGAGATTTTGTGATACTACAGTGAGGAGGGATGACCCACCTCGCCCGGGGGAGGAATTGGGCGTTGCATCCTCGTCCACTGCTTCAGAGCTCTCATTGATGATATTCATAAGGTTGGTTGGGAGGTCACTCATTATTCTCGTTCTTTCTTCTATGTTACCTGCCATATTAGATCTGTGCATACAAAGAAAGGGGATTTTGTTCTTGCTTTCTCCTTTTTCTTTTTACGTTAGCGATCCGTGTTAGCTATAGATCTAAAGGAAACTAAAAATTTAACAAGAAAATCCCCACAGCCGACGCCAAATTGTTTGACTAAAAAGTATAACTTTCGGTTAAAACTACTGTATTTATATAATGAAGGGTTAAACATAGTTAATGATAATATCTCTAAATGTGGATCATGAAAGTGTGGATAATGTGGGACAAATCTAGTGGGAGATTGACAATAACAAGCATTAAATATCCAAAAAGTATGAGCAATAGTGGAGGAGTAACTAGCAATAAATAGCAATAAATGACATTTAAGTAAATAGGAGGAGTGATTCACCCAATGAATAACGAATTAGATGATTGTTCCTCCTGACAATGATGAGTGAAAGATAAATTCTAGAATGTTCGAACTATTCTCGGATCTGATGAAAAAGTATGGAATAATACGAATAAGAATCTTGATGAAAATGTAATGTTTGTATCTTTGCTAGAGAGAGAGAATCGTTTTCAGAAATCTGCTCTTATCACCTGAATATTTCATACCCTTTTTCCTTCTCTTTTATCTTCTTTATATGAGGCATATCCATAGTAAACCCTAATAGTACATGTACAGAGAATATTCTTTAGAATATCCCCTATAGTATCCAGCTATTCTAAAAACTAGTCGTTACGATTCTTTCCGCGGACCTCGTCCTCGACCGTCATAGGCATCCTGACCACGAGTTTTGCCATTTCCTGATCGACCTCGACTGATTTTTCCTCAATACTTCCTCGCCCTAAATGTTCCGTGGTAGATTTCGACCTATACATTATATCCTGTTAGGTTTAATATATTGGTTTGACTTAGGGCATTACCGAAAAAATATTTAAAATTTTGATTTCTTTAATTTTCAGAAGGTCAATAAGACAGTTTCAATCCTAATTGTTATACTCACATCACCGTATATGTTTTTTTAAAATGTATTTAATTCTGAACATATTATATATGCTTGTATTTGGGATGAACTTATGTTTTTCTAGTATCCCATTTGGTGTGTGGTACTCATTTTGAAATCTCGACTGATTTGAAACTGTCCGTTGTAAAATACATTAAAGCGAAAAAAGCCTCTTATTAGGATCTTCTCCATTTATATAGTTCAACCGATACCTCTAATTAAGGATAAAATCTCAATATCCATCACAACCCCTGGCGGTTCACGAAATCATGTTACACTAACATATGAATTGTTGAAACAAATGATGAAAAACGAGCAGCACGAAAATGGGGCTAGCATTATGTGGTAAACTTATACACCATTAGTATATATAAGTAAAAAAATAAAATCGTATATTTTAAGTAGTTGTTCTATTTACGTATTATTTATGCAATTACGCTTGAAAAGGGTAGAAGAGATTTTCGACTATTATTTTAAAAATATCTATATTGTCATTTTCCCTTTTAGCAGCCCTAACCATCTTTGTCCTTCTTTGCTGTCAAGTCTTGTCAACTTTATCTCCCTCCTAATAGAACAAGAAAGAAAAAGGAAAAAAGAAAGAGAATAAAGGACGAAGACAAACTGAAAATTGATAGCACGTTTATATCATGATGGAAAATTGAATCATGTTAATAGACATGTCGACGTAATACCACTCTGATTTGTTAGCCTTTAGGCCTCACCAATATGTGGAAATCGTGATAAATTGTTGTGAGGAAGTAAAAACAAAGCAACCCCCCACCCCCTAATATGCACTACAATACCAAAACAAAGCAATTTCTTTTAAGTTTGAGAATTAAAAACGCAATTTTTCCTCGTCTTTTTTTTTTTTTTGGTTGATTCATTATTATCTAACGGCCAACATATTGTATATTGAACATGCACCGGTAATTTTTTTACAATAAATTTCTTAATTTATAAATCACATAAACAAGTTTCGCGTAATTAGAACGTAAATTAAACTATTCTAAGATCATAAATAAGTAAAACAATACTTAGCTAGCATTAAAGTAGTTTCCCACTCCATTATGTGATCTTTTCTAATCGTAGGCTATATGTAGGAGCAATCATTAGGGAATAGGAACAATGACAGCCCAAAAGTTTTCTCGTCAGTTGGCATTATTTATTATGATAATTATTATAATATATTTTCTTTTTTTCCGAAGGATAAGTTGGCATATATGGACCACTAACGCATTGTCACATTGATAATTGATTCCATGATTAAGTCTTTTTTTAAATTACTAAACCATTCATTCTCCGATAACAAGCTCACTCGTCATGCTTTGTAAGGTATGCCATGATAAATTTCTCGATAAATCACAGTCACTTGATTGTATTTAAGTTTTGAAATATTTCAGCGCATGATTTTATCTTAATGTTGTTGTAATATAGTGGTGAGTATACCCGCCTGTCAACCAAACTGTTAGGATATTAGGATATGCATTTAATTAATTATTCACTGCGCAGTTAGTTAGTTAGTTAGTTAGTGAAGTGTAATGTGACACCTAGATTACAATTGTCATATGTAGAGATCAGCTAAATTAGATAAATACACGTGTATATATACATTGTATTGTATTCATTCAGAAGTAATGAGATCAGATATTTTCTCTCAATTCTCTCTCCAACTGCTTCAGCCATGTGTTCCCTTCACTGAGAGAGCTTGCTTCTTCCATGAGAGAAGCTTGAGGATGACTCACATACGGTAAATTCTCATGGTATTAGAGCAATAGAGACATTTCCGCAAATTCAACTCATTTTTTGAATAGATTCAGATATCGTCATCTTCGAAGCTCAATTTCTGAAACTCAACAATGGCGGCAGAAAAAATCGATCACTCTCATCCTTTGTTTGTACATCCTTCAGACACACCAGGTTCTATTCTGATTCCTATCAAACTCACCGGATCAAAGAATTATGGAATTTGGCGTAGATCGATGCGAATAACTTTACAAGCTAAGAGAAAGTTAAGGTTCGTATTAGGCACATGCAAAAAAGACTCGTTTGAGATTGAGCTCCATGAAAATTGGGAAACATGCAATGCTATTGCACTTTCCTGGATCATGAACAATGTGTCACCGGACCTTCATAGTGGTATTGTCTATACATCAAATGCGCACCTAGTCTGGGAGGATTTGCGAGAAAGGTTCAATAAGGTGAATCGAGTTAGAATTTTTCAATTACATAGGGAAATTACTACAATAACTCAAGGTACAGATTCGGTTTCAACATACTTCACAAAGCTGAAGGAATTGTGGGCAGAGTACGATGCCATGGTTCCTTCACGAGGATGTGGTTGTACAAAATCGAAGGAAAACATAGAGCATTTTCAGACGCAAAAGTTACTTCAGTTTTTGAGTAGACTTAATGACTCTTATGATCAGGCAAGGAGACAAATTCTCATGAAAACCGTTGAACCAACCCTAAATCAAGCCTATGCAATGATTGTTGAGGATGAAACCCAAAGGTCTAATTCTGCTGGTTCTGAGAAGTCTAATCCTTTGGCAATGCAAGCAAGTCGAGGGCGGCCCTATAAAGGAAAGAAACCTTTTATGCAGTGTGAATACTGCAATATGAAAGGGCACCTGAAGGAGAATTATTATAAATTGGTGGGATACCCTGTAGATTTCAAAGGAAGAAAGAAGTACTCAGCCAACAATGTAATCAGTAATGTGAATTTAGACAACAAATCATGTGTGAAGGAAGGTAACAACACTAGAGATGGATATTTCTTCACCAAAGATCAGTATGATCAGATACTCACCATGTTGAACAAAGGAGCTGATGATTCACAGGGAAACAAGACAGGTATAATCACTATATTTATGGAAGATTTAAAATGTAGTGAGTGGATAGATGACTTAGGTGCTTCACATCATATTACTGCCAATCTAGAACTGTTAAACGCAAAGAGGAAGCTTAATCCACAAAATGGAGAACAAGTTAATTTACCTACTGGGAAGAATGCAGCTATTACTCATATAGGAGTTGCAAAATTTCTGGATAACATGAGTGTGCAGAATGTATTATTTGTTCCTGATTTCAAATTCAATTCGCTCTCAGTCTCAAAAACTGACCAGGGATCTCTCTTGCTCTATCAATTTCTTTTCTGACTTTTGCATCTTTCAGGACCTTAACAGTGGCAGGGTGATGGGTATTGGTAGAGATAAATGAGGGATGTACATAGTAGAGAAATTTCTCAATAAGGTGGTAAAGGAACCAGTCATGGCTGCAGTTGTGCAAAGTGAACAAACAGATGGAAAGTTGTAGCATGCAAGACTTGGACACCCTTCAATGAGCACCGTGAAGCATATAAACTTCTTACAAAATACAGTAACAGATGTTAGCTCAATCACTGATTGTCCAATATGCCCACTGGCTAAGTAGAGTAGGTTGCCATTTCCTAGCAGTACTTCTAAGAGTTCACATGCTCTAAAACTCTTACATATAGATATTTGGGGACCTTATAAGACCCCTACTTATCATAAGAAGCAGTATTTCTTAACCACTGTTGATGATATGTCAAGATATACTTGGGTGTTCTTGATGCAATTTAAGACTGGTGTGATTGTTGTCTTAAAGAAATTTCTTTCTATGATTAAAACACAGTTCTCTGCAATTGTAAAGATAATTAGAAGTGATAATGGGATTGAATTCCTCAATGTTAAGTACAATGAAATGTTAGATTCTTATGGAATCATACATCAAAGTAGTTGTGCTTATATACCTCAACAAAATGGAGTTGTTAAACGTAAACATAGACACATACTTGATGTTACAAGAGCACTTAAGTTTCAAGCAGGAATTCCCACCAGATTCTCGGGGAGAATGTATAGAGGTTGTTGTCTATGTCATCAATAGACTTCTAACTACTGTGCTCAATGGGAAATGCCCATTTGAGATTCTGTATGGAAGATCACCTTCCTTGGCACATTTAAAGATGTTTGGCTGCTTGTGTTATGCAGTCAGCTTGCCTAAATAGGACAAGTTTTCATCTAGAGCCAAAGTTGATGTGTTTCTTGTCTATTCTACAACTCAAAAGGGTTACAGGTTGCTGGATTTGGAGTCCAAGCATCTCCTTGTGAGTCGAGATGTTGTGTTCAAAGAACATATTTTTCCATTCAAGAAGGACATGTATGTCTTTTTTCCATTCAGTGTTCAACTATCTGCATTTACAAGACCTCGTGATAGGGGGAGACTGGCTGATCATGAGGAAGATGGGCACTATGATGATCATAAAAATGCTCAAACTCAAACTCCATTGGATCCTGCTCATAATTCAACAGATACTGCAGATGAGCACACTCAAAATACATTGGCTGACCATGATACAACAGGTAATTCAGAAGGGAACAATTCTTTTGATGATGATGAGTTTGAAGATAGTCTAACTGCTTTAGACTCAGGATCAGATGAATGGGAGACACAATTAGACCTTGCTGCAGATGCAACACCACAACCTCATACTCTTGATACAGAAATTGCTGACCTTACTCCTACAACTACAGTTGACACTTCTGAGACCTTGAGGAAATCAGGAAGAATTAGTAAAGCACCATTGTGGCTTCAAGATTACATAACCAACAATAAGACCAATGGGGCAACACTTTACTCTATAGCTGACTACATGTGTTATGATAATGTGACACAAAAATACAGGTGCTATTTAGCCAAAATCTCAACACTGACAGAGCCACAGAATTTCAAGGAAGCCTCAAAGGACAGGAAGTAGATGGAAGCAATGCAGATAGAAATTAAAGCATTGAAAAATAACCATACATGGAAGGTTATTGACTTGTCTAAAGGGAAGGCTGTTATTGGATCAAAATGGGTTTACAAGATCAAATACAAAGAAAATAAAGATGTAGAAAGGTTCAAGTAGCCAAAAGAAAGGGTTGGACTACCATGAAACCTTTTCTCCAGTAGCCAAAATGGTAACTATTAGAGCAGTCATTGCATTGGAAGCCGCAAAAGGATGGACTATGTATCAGATGGATGTATTCAATGCATTCTTACAAGGAGATTTGGAAGATGAAGTATACATGGAACTTCCTCAGGGATTTAGAAGACAGGGAGACCAAGGTTTGCAAGCTTATGAAGTCACTATATGGGCTAAAACAAGTCTCAAGGCGGTGGAACATAAAGCTCACAGAAGCCTTGTTAGAAGCAGGATACAAACAGAGTTTACATGACTATTCATTGTTCACTAAAAGAAGTGAAAATAACTTTGTGGCAATTCTGATTTATGTAGATGATTTGCTGATTTTAGGAAGTAGCAACAGATTCATACAAGAAGCAAAGGATGTTCTGCATTAGAAGTTTAAGGTGAAAGACCTTGGGCAATTAAGATATTTCTTGAGAATAGAAGTTGTAAGATCAGACAAAGGAATCCTATTAAATCAAAGAAAGTATGCGCTCCAACTAATCTCAGATCTTGGATTAGGAGGTACCAAACTAGCTGCAACACCAGTAGATTTGAACCAGAAGTTCACTTCTCTGAAATTTGATGCACATGCAGGAATAACAGGAGATGAGGCATTAGATGATATAACAGCTTACCAAAGATTAATTGGGAGGCTATTGTATTTGACAATAACAAGATCTGACATAAGCTATATAGTTCAGACATAAAGTTAATTCATGCAAGCACCAAAGATATCACATTGGGATGCAGCTGTTCGAGTGGTGGAGTACATAAAGCAGGCACCAGGAATGTGAGTTCTTATGAGCAGCAAACAGGCAGACAGTTTGACATGCTTTTGTGATGCAGACTGAACAACTTGCCCCAATACCAGGAGGTCAGTGACTGGATTCATAGTAAAATTTAGAGCATCTCTCGTGTCTTGGAAGTCGAAAATAACAAATTGTATCAAGAAGCTCTGCAGAAGCAGAGTACAGAAGCTTGGCAGTAGTTACAACAGAGGTAACATGGCTAGTGAGGTTGTTTGCAGAACTACATGTATCAATTAAATAACCAGTAGACTTGTTTTGTGACAGTAAAGTAGCACTACAGATTGCAGCAAATCTTATATTTCACGAGAGAACTAAGCACATAGAAATTAATTGTCACTTCGTGAGATACAAGATCAAAGAAGGGGCAATCTTTACACACTACATTGCATCTAAAGATCAACAAGCTGACTTGTTGACAAAAGGTTTGGGCAAGGTGCAACATTGTTCTTTGCTTGGTAAGCTGGGAGTTATTAATATTTTACACCCCCCAACTTGAGGGGGAGTATTAGGATATTAGGATATGCAGTTGATTAGTTATTCACTGTACAGTTAGTTAGTTAGTGAAGTATAATGTGACAGCTAGATTACAGCTGTCGTATCTAGAGATCAACTAAATTAGATAATACACGTGTATATATACATTGTATTGTATTCATTCAGAAGTAATGAGATCAGATATTTTCTCTCTCAATTCTCTCTCCAACTGCTTCAGCCATGTGTTCTCTTCACTGAGCGAGCTTGCTTCCTCCATGGGAGAAGCTTGAGGATGATTCACATACTGTAAATTCTCATAAACACTTCAAAATAGTTGATATTGGTATTTTCTTGTAAAATATTATTCATGAAAAGCAATTTATAAATTAGTCTTCAATTCTCATACGAGACAATTCAGGAACAAGATCAGTGAACTCACAAGGAGATTTCTATTTTCTGTTAAAAGAGAGAATTTTATTGTCTTCTGAAATGAGACAAAATAATTTTGAACTAAAATTAACTTTTTCATCATTTAGGAAATGAAAAAGTTATAACTTGAATTTTCTAGCTTCTAAAGATGTAATATATTTCAAAAGGGTTGCTGTTTAAATCTAATTGTAAAATTTTGGACAAAGATCACTTTTAGCTGGCGGGAGAAACTATTTACATTCGTTAGTCGAAAAAGTGAATAAAATTTGTATGTTTGTGTATATAATTTTCAAAAATATATATTTATACAAAAAATATACATTCTTTAGCTATTATTTTAAGAGAGACAATACATATTATTTTTCCTAAAATTCTAGGTCATACGGAGGCAAGTGATTTGCAAAAATAGGATCATTTAGTGTCATTAAGAAAATGCACGTCTGCCAATAACTTTCTCAGCCACTCAGCTTCTTTCCTGCTAACTCAAGAGCAGTAAATTCATATTTCATGATCGAACGTGCTATACAAGTCTGCTTTGAAGACTTCCACGAAATAGCACCTGCACCCAAAGTAAACACATAGCCACTAGTGGAGCTAACTTCATCATTGTCAGTAACCTAGTTTGCATCACAAAAGCCTTCTAAAATAACATGAAATTTATTAAAATGCAAATACCAATTCATAGTACCTCGCAAATACCTTAGTAAACGATGAAGAGCATTCTAGTGTTCACTACTGGGGTTGTCAGTATATCTACTCAATCTACTAATAGCATAAGCAATATCAGGCTAAGTATAATTCATAAGAAACATTACACTACCAATTATCTTAGTATATTCAGTTTGAGAAACACTAGATTCTTTATTCTTTAAAAACATGTATTAGAAATAACTAAAATACCGTTAATACAAATATATTTGAATATACTGAATATAAAATAGCGAATACAGTAAATACAAACATTAAATCTAATGAATGCAACAGTAAAAATAATAATATTGAAACACATTAAATACAACAGTTATATACAACTGAAAAATCATTCTAATTAATTGTGTTGATTATGGGGCATGTTAGAATTAATTTTGTTGAGTTATATTAGGAGTGTATCACGCACGCTAATTGATATTATTTCCGTCATTAGACAACTGGACAGACCTATTTTTAAGGTGATTGTCGTTACTGTATTCATTAATATATGGCGCGAATACATGTGAATACATGCGCGTACAGTTGGACTGCCATAATTTTTAGGCGCTTTTTGCTCCTGTATTCATGAATATAGCAGCACGAATACATCGAATACACTACCGTAACAACTGAATAGTAGCTATAGGAAGTAATTATGTATATAGTAGTTATAGGAAGTTAATAGATACTAAACAATAGTGGTTTCTGAAAATTCTTCTTTAAGATAATCCACTCGGCCCATAGTTCACAACGTTACTGATGGGCCAAGTTGATATATAAGCTCAGATCAGAATTTGGATCTCTCTCTAATCGGTTAGAGTGAAAACTTATCACTCAAAGTAGAAAAAGATTTTCACGCTAAATTTCATTTCATTTTATCCATCTTATGGGGGTGGCTTGAGGTAGGGAAAAAGGAAAGACAGGGTTAAGCGAAAATCAAATCCTTTATCTTCACTATGTGAGATATGAGTTATAAAATGAGCTCTCAATTAATTCTTATAATTTTACTTCTTTTGTCTTTACAAAGAGCTAGAAGTACTCATAAGATTTTACTACAATGATAGTAATTTGGTCTGTTTAATTCAATTATTTTTAAAATCATAATATTTTTTTATTTGGGGAATTAAGCAAGTTGTACACCATTTCTCTTTCTTGTTTTTCTTTTTAGTTTTTATCTTCAAATTTGAGGGAACAAGACGTTCAATTAATGAACACAATAATTTTGCTCGATTTACATAAGATCTTTCTTGAGATGACAAAACTACACGAGCCAGTGCAGAACAAATTAGAGGAAAAAGGATGGGAAGGTGAATAAGAAAACTCGATTAGAGACGAGAGATAATTTACAGTTAAACTAAATAAAACAAAGAGGGATGTGGTTGGAAAAATATGTAAATAAAAATCAATTCTCATAAGATCTAAAGTAAAGGAAGCCAATAAAGAAGAACTAAGATATCAAATACTAAATGCTTCTTACTATATATTTATCAGTAAAAAATGCAGTCCGGTGCACTAGGCAGACCGAATTCACGTATGGTTCGGGAAAGGGCCACACTCCAAGGCGTGTAATGTAGACAACCTACCTTAATATAAGTATTCGTGGTTGATTCAACAACTCGAACCTGTGACCTGTAGGTCACACGAAGACAGTTATATATCTATCATTTTTTCCTGAATATTTCTGAGAGATGATGTTATAGCTCCAAAAGAAGGTCGAACAGCAACATCTTCATCCCACGACAGTTGTATAATTTGTATCAGCTCTTCTAGTTTCTCATCTTGCTTTGGGAGTTCTGGCCTTAAGCCTTTTTCTGCTACTTCCAATGCTATCTGTTTTACAGAAATGTTTTACACAATCAGTGTATGTAACTTAAGAATTAAGGTACTAATATATATGAGAAGGTGTCACATACGTACCTTAGAAGGACCAAAATCAGTTTGAATGTATGGGTATTCTCCAGTGACAAGCTCATTGAGAATAATCCCAAAACTATAGACATCCGACTTTTCATCATAAGGTTCTGATCGAATCACTTCCGGGGCCATGTATACATATGTTCCTGATATGTCAATAGTTTGACGTTTATTAATCAAGACTCATTAAACCAAGTACACAACGAGTAGTATATGTAATGACTATTTTATTAAGAGGAAATTAATAAACCATTGTCAAATTACTAAAAAAAGTAGCCCAGTGCACGAGATATCCCCGTTCATGCAGAATCCGGGAATATGATGCCGGTAACCTACCCTAATGCAAACATTTGAATCCGTGACCTATAGGTCACACAGAGACAACTTTACTATTAGTGCTCCAAGGCTCCCCTTCAACTTTATCATTGTCAAATTATTTTTAGTAATAAATGTATGGGTCAAAATCTATTTTTAGTCGAAATGGTATTCCTGGGATGCCACGTGTCGAAGTAATCTAATTATCAGCGAAGACCGCGGTCGAAGAGTCAGCAAGACTGAAGTCGAGGAGTTGTCATCGAGGTCGAGGTCGAGCACCCTTGACAGAGTTATAACGGCTAGTTTTAAGATATGACACAAAAGGAAATATTCTAGTGGATATACTCTGCACGTGTACTGTTAGGGTTTTTAGGAACATGTTACCTATAAATAGAAAGAGACACAATGATAGAGGACATGCGATATTCATTTGTAAAAATACACTTTGACTTTAGAGAGAGAATCGAATTTCATTGCAAGCATACAAACATCACATTTTTACTAAGATTCTTGTCTACACTTTTCTATTAAATACGAGAGTAACTCAGATATTCAAAGGATTGTCCATCACTCATCATTGTCAAAAAGAACATTCACCGATTCCATTATTTTCTTGGGTGACTCATTCATTCTATTTACTTAAATGTCACTTATTATTATTCATTGATATTGAATGCTACATTATTGCCTTTGATTTTTGGAATATTGATTGTATGCTACCGTCGTTGTCCAAATATACCTACGTAGTATTTATTGCACTTTTGAGAACTTCGTCTTTGGGATATTATTGTTAACTAAGATTAACCCTTATTTATAAAAATTTAATTAGTTGAACCAAGATCTATATTTTTTGGTCAAACAATTTGGCGTCGTCTGAGGGAATTTCTTAGTTAAATTTTTAGTTTCCTCTAGATCTACAATTATCGCAAGTCACTAACGTCAAAAACCCCAAGATCTCCTTTCTTTGAGCATACAAAAACCTACAGGGCAGGTAACCAAAGGGAAATGACAAAAATAACAAATGACTTCCCAACGAACCTCATAAATGTCATCAATGAAAGTTGTGAAACAATAGGCGAGGATACGACGCCCAACGCATCCCCTAGGCGAGAGAGGTTGCCTCCCCCACACTGCAGCATGACAAAACCCAGCAAAAAAGTGGCCTCTACGTCTGCAGAAGAAGGGACGCCCCTAGCGGTGAAAAAACTCCTCGAAGCATGGCTGACCGACACACTAGCGAGCGTCTTCAACAAACCCGCTCTAGGCATGACTGCAAAAACCGTAAGGGCTTGCATGATACAACAAACAGACGAGAAGTGAAACCGACCCCTCTCTCCAAGGACAAGGATAACTCATAATATTACTGATAGTACAGGTGCCAGCGCCTTCGCTGCCATTCTAAAGAGGATGGAAGAAATGGAGAATGAAATCAAGGAACTCCGAGATCAAATGAATGAACACCAAGAATGAGTTGACAAGATACCAGGCACTCCTAAGTTACTGCCAAAAAGGGACGCCAACAGGTTCGTAGAGTATCCCTACAACAACGACGCAGCCCCGTATACCAACCCAAAGACCTTCAAAATGCCGCCATACCTCAGGATATACGACGGAACGACCGATCCTGATGATCATATGACTTACTAAGTCACCTCTGTGAAAGGAAACGACTTCGCCAAGGAACAAGTGTCCTCTATTTTGCTGAAGAAGTTTGGAAAAACCCTTAAGGGAGGGGCATTAACATGGTATTCACAGCTACCAGCCCGCTCCATAGAAATTTTCGAAGAAATGGCCGATAAGTTTGTAATCGTCCATGCCGGAGCCAAGAAGGCCGAAGCAAGAGTAAACAACATATTCGTTATTAAGCAGTCCTTGGGAGAGGAACTGAGGGACTTCCTTGCCTGGTTCAACAGAGTAAGGATGACTGTGCCGAACGTATCCGAAGGGATGGCGGTCACAGCTTTCTAGAGCGGGCTGAGTAGAGATGGTTCAAGAGCAAATAGAAAACTGTTGAGCTGATTGATGAAGTATCCTCCAACCACTTGGGACGAAATCCAAAATGCTTATTTTGCTAAGGTTCGAGCAGATGAGGACGACCTCAACGGACCAACTCACCGGCTAACCTTGGTACAAGCCAAATTCAGAAAAGAACGAAGAGACAACACCAGAAGAGATCACCTAATTCCATGACCTAACAGGGAACGACACCAACCATATGTCAAGGCGGCCACCGCACCTTTTCCTCGCTATGAAAAAGGCCCATCCAGGCCAAGGACATGGACTCATCAGAACGAAAGAGGTATGCCCCCTTATTTTTTGCTCACAATTTTGTCGTGTCACCTACAAAAATAGTCTACGCTCTTGAGAAACTTGGAACAAAGGTGAAGTTTCTGCCTAAGATGAGATTAGGCCCGAACACCAGAAAATCCGATGCCCTTTGTGAGTTTCAACAAGAAGGTGGGCACAAAATAGAAGATTGCATCGCCCTCAGACAAGAAGTCGTAAACATGTTATGGCAAGGGCATCTCAAGGAGTTGTTAAGCGACAAAGAGAGAACCAACTTCGCTAGAGGACGCGAACATCAACGCCCGCCAAAGCTATTGTCGCCAGCTTGTACTATCAACATGATCATCGGCGGCAATGATGACACCTCTATCAACAACGTGAAGTTCACCACCACTCACAAGATCAAGCAGTCTATCACCCGTGAACAGTACGACGAGTCGGATGCCGACGGTTTGACTTTTCTCATAGTGATGCCCTCGTTACTTTACGCATTTTAGATACCAATGTCAAATGCATCATGGTGGACATTGGAAGTGGCGCATGCATTATACATCTCCGAGTCCTTACCCAAATGAGACTTTAGGATAAGATAGTGTCGCACTGCATCGCGCTAACCAGTTTTAATAATGCAGTTAAGTTGACATCCGGGGAAATTACACTCGTCGTCTTAGCTGACGGCGTGACTCTGAAGACGACATTCCATATCATGGACCAGGTTACTGCGTACAACGTCATAGTGGGACGACCATGGATACATCCCATAAGAGCCATCCCCTCCAGCCTATACCAAGTAATTAAATTCCCAACACTATGGGAAATATTTAGCATACGCGGGGAATAACGCACATCCCGGGAATGCTACCACATTGCCTTGGACAGCATGGCCACCCAACAGAAAAAAGACAAAGAAATAGAGGCATAGCAATCAACAGGGTCGAGGTCGAAGAAAGAAGAGATCGGGGACGTCATCATGGATCCTGACATGATCGAGGCTGCAGGTTCGACCATAGAAGACCTCGACCCCATTCAATTGGACCTTAACGACCATAGCAAGAAGTCCTATATCGGCTGCAAACTCCGGGAACCAGGTAAATTTGGTCAATTCTTAATAGCTAATGCAGATTTGTTTGCTTTCAGCCATGCAGATATGCCGGGCATCCCAAAGGAAATCTCCATACACAAATTAAACGTCGACCCATTCCACTCGCAGTAGTACATGTCAGGCGTAAATTCAACTCCCCCATCGATGATGCAGTTCGCGAGGAGGTGAAAAAACTGTTAGAGAACGACTCTATTAGGAAGTCGAAGTACCCCAAGTGGATCGCCAACGTAGTGATGGTCAAAAAGAAAAATGTGAAATGGCAAATGTGCGTGGATTTCACAGAGTTGAACAAAACATGTCTGAAGGATTCGTTCCCATTACCCCATATCGACCAACTCATCAACGCAATAGTCGGGCATAAACTATTGAGTTTCTTGGATGCTTACTCAGGCTATAACCAAATTATTATGGAGGAAGAAGATCAGGAGAATACCATGTTCATCACCCATCAAGGAATGTATTGCTATAGGGTCATGCCGTTTGGACTGAAGAACGCAACTGCTACTTATCAAAGATTGGTAATAAAGATGTTCAAAGACCAGCTCGATAAGACCATGGAGGTATATATAGATGACATGTTGGTCAAGTCCGAAAGGGCAGAGGATCACAACGATCATTTGAATGAAACTTTCGACATACTTAGACGGTATAGAATGAAGTTGAACCCGGAGAAATGCGCATTTGGCGTAGCCTCAGGAAAGTTCTTGGGTTTTCTAGTGTCGCAGCGAGGGATCGAGGTCAACCCAGAGCAAATCAAAGCTATCAAGGGGATACCCAAACTTTTAACCACCAAAACGCAATTCCAAAGGTTGACTGATTGAATCGCCGCCCTATCAAGGTTCATCTCGCGGTCGTCGGATAGATGCCACAAATTGTTTGGCATACTCAAGAAGGAAAACAACCTCGAATGGACTCCCGAGTGCGTCCAGGCTCTACGAGAACAGAAGGCATACCTATCATCACTGCCCCTGCTTTCAAAACCCGAACTGGGGAGTAACTCTTCGTCTAGCCGTCTACGAGGTAGCGGTAAACACAATCTTGATCCGCAAAAATAAAGGTACGCAATCTCCCATCTATAACAATAGGAAAACACTCGTCGACGCCGAGACGAGGTACCCGTACCTCAAAAAATTGGCTTTGGCCTTGGTCGTAGTTTCACGAAAGCTTTGACCCTATTTCCAATGCCATCCCATCTCGGTCGTCATGACATTTCCCCTTAGGAGCATTTTTCATAAACCTGAGCTATCGGGGAGGTTGGCCAAATGGGACATCGAGCTAAGTGAGCACAATATCACGTACCATCCGCGGACGACGATAAAGTCACAAGTGCTCCCGACTTCAGTGCAAAAATAATTCCTGAAGTCGAAAAGGAACTCGTCCAAGCTTCCCTCCAATTACAAGACCTTTGGGTCCTATACACCGATGTCGTATCCAACGCGTCAG